GAGCCCTGTCTGAAACCCTTGCCAGTGACGACAATGCTGAGCTAGAGGAACAAATGGTCTGACTCTTTGTGAGGCAGTTTCCTATTTTCCATAGCATCCTCATTGGTAGGCACATGCACACCTTTTCCACTTGTCTTTTTAAATATACAGCTAATTGATTCTCGCAGCAATGTGGGGAATGGCACCGTCAGGAAAATTAGAAATTGCATGCCTTCAAGTCCTTCATACAAGGACATACTTGGAGAATCCTAACCTAGTTAGATACATTTAAGGAAAGAGAGGTAAGCCTTCTTAGAAAGCAGGTTGGAATATCTCCAAACACCTTTCAAATTTCTGTTTTTAAATACTTTCCCAAGACCTGGCTAAGCACTGGATTAGAAAGACAGGTGCCTGTTGTCTAAGCTGTCTCAGTCATGTCCCCTCCCCCTCCCCACTGACTGATGCTCTCGATGATTGCATTCAAAAAGCAAAAAAAAAAAAAAACCATTACAAGTAACAAAAAGGCTGAGTACGTGAAGGGAGGAAGCCTCTTGCAGCAAATGTCTGAAAAAAACTGACTGGCTCTTAGAGGTTTGCCAGTCCATTACCAAACAGAAATGCATGAACTATGTGATTAAGAGAATACTAAGTAGTGAGTACAGAAATCAATTCTGTTTAGTGAGGATGCAAATCCCCTTGAGGCTTTAAAATGTTTTTTAAGGTCTGATGAGGTGGGGAGTTGACATGTCTTCTATAAATGCACAGAATTACTGAGCACAGGGGATTTATTTAACCAGGAAACTTGCATTATTAAGATTAGACATCTCGCTTTCAAGGTGCTCCTGGAAGATAATGACTGCTATATCCATAATTCACAGTAGACATCAGTTTTGTCAGGTAATATATAAATAGGCCTGAAGATGGAACTTAGCAGTTTTCACTCTGAATTGCAAAACAAAATTATGGACCAAGTTTCCTAGCATTCAGTAGAGCTACACCAGCAGAAAATTTGATCTGGTGACTTGAACATATTCACAACTATATTCTATATTCAATATGTTTCCACTTTTCATTGATTGGATAACACATAAGATAATAATTTGAAAAACTGTATACTTTGGAATTTTTATAGCCCCTTCCGGCTTAGAACTGAGGTTACATGTCAATCCTGTTTGGATTTGGAATCTTCTAGGCTTTGTGTGCTATATTATGTGTGTATTTAGTTTGCTCTGTGTATACTTACTATCTTCCAAAAAGTACAGTGTCTGTACTTTAATATCTGTGTTTAATACTGTGTTTAATATCTCTGAGGCAAACAAAAACTTCATTGGTTTCAATTGCTCTGCGAAATCTTAGAAAATCGGTCAATTTAAGAGATTTTATTGTTCAGGGTGGGGATGGACGGAATGAAACAGTAACCTGTCTGTAACACCTACATCAAGATTTGGCTTAAAGGGTCACTTTTGTAGGCAGTTTTGTAGTCCTGTTTTCCTTAACAATGCTTTCTTCAGTCAGTGGGAAAGAACATTTGGCAATTTCTAAATATGGATCAGTTATCAGTAGGAAGGTGTCAACTGATCGTGCCAAATACAGCCTCTGCTTGCATCAAATTTGTGATGGGCTCTTGCCACTGCACCACCATTTTGTGACTGGTGGGTCTCAGTAATATTACTGAGTGGTTCTGGGGTTTGACAATTTAAGAACCCTTGCTTTCATTTGTATATTCAATGGGGGCTGGGGCTGGGCATGAACCTTACCTACCACCACACATACGTGTAATTTCCCGTGTGAATCAAAGCCTTCACATCAACATATGATTGCATAGTAAACCCCTCAATCCAAGGGGAGGAGGGAAATAAATAGCACAAATGGGACCTTTTAGCAAAATCTGTGTCATTTTAATGTCTGAATTTAACTAAAATTCTGAATTTGAGGAGGGTGGTCAGTGGAGCAGCCCTATCAGTGAATTGTCTGCATGCCACATGAGATATTTTTAGGGGAAAAAACTTATTAAAATGTTTCTTTACTATGTTCAATTACAGTAGGAGAAGCAGAATTTTTAAAAGCTGTTTAAATGGAAATGGATTGTTTTTTAAAAAAATCAATAACATTTAAGAGTCAGACTTCCATGGGTCCATTCCAAATGGTTTAGTGTATATAGATCAGGGCCAGTGGTTGTATGCTTGTATTCTGGAACAGAATGTTCCAAGGCCTCTGACCTGATTTTGTCAGTGCCATCTTAAATGTTTTAAGGAAGTGGGCATCCAGAAGTGCCAATGATACAGATACAGCATCTTGGAACTCACACATGTGAGTGCACATTCTCTGCAGGTGAGAAACAGAAGTCTGTGGCAGAGCTTTCCAAACTTCGTGTTGGTGGCACACTTTTTAGACATGCATAATTTCACGACACAGTTATTCAGTTTTACTAGCAAGCCGGAGGTTAAAGTAACCCCTTTCCAGCCCAAGGAGGAGTGTGGGGAGTGTTCGTGTGACACACTAATGTGTTGCAACACAGTTTTGAAAGCTCTGGTCTTGGAACTACCTAAGCAGCACAACCCTAACCATCTTTAGTCAGAAGTAAATCGTACTGAATTCTAAGGACTTACTCCCAAGTAAGCAGGGTTACCATTGAGGCTAAGAAGTTTGCATGATTCTCACTTCTGAAATTCTTACTTCTAAACCATTTTTTTAGGGGGGAATACAGACTTTCTTACTTAAAATGGAGGTGCCTATGGTTCCCCATTCCCTTTTGTAACTTGATTTGTCTACGGTTGACGACTAGCAGCTGAATCCCTTTTACCGACTCTGTTGGAAAGTCTTAAAGGGAATAGAATAGGAAAAGGGGCTGTATTTTGATAACTAATATTACAGAAGAAACCAGAAAATGATCCCCATGATATATGTTAGAACTGAACAAAGAGCAAAAATAAGTATTGTGACAACTTGGCAGTAAAATGTAATAACGACATTCCAGAGAATGGGATGCAATATGGGGAAAGAGTCCAGTGCTCTTTTCCTAGAAAAATAAGGGCCAGTACTCACCATGAAGTTGTTACAGTGTCACATTTTTTAACCAAAAAAAAAGAGAGGTGTTAGGAAGTGCCACACTTTTTAGCAGCAACAAAAAAAGCGGTCTGGTACTGCATACTCTTGAGTAAGCCCTGAGAAATAGGCACTGGAGAAGACTAGCCATCTTTCACCAAATGCAACTATTTTTAGAAAACTTAAATAAGATATTAGCAAGGTGGTACATCACTTCATGGAGAAGAAAACAGATATCATAAGGTAGATACGCTATTTGTTAGAAATGTCTTAATGTTCAAAATTTGGAAACATAATAACTGAAGAGGCAATAACTGAAACAGAAATCCCATTGGATCCTATTAGAATTTTGTTGGAATAAAAGTAAAGGTAAAGGTACCCCTGCCCGTACGGGCCAGTCGTGTCCGACTCTAGGGTTGTGCGCCCATCTCACTTAAGAGGCCGGGGGCCAGCGCTGTCCGGAGACACTTCTGGGTCACGTGGCTAGCGTGACAAAGCTGCTCTGGTGAGCCAGCACCAGCGCAGCACACGGAAACGCCGTTTACCTTCCCGCTATAAAGCGTTACCTATTTATCTACTTGCATTTAAGGGTGCTTTCGAACTGCTAGGTGGGCAGGAGCTGGGACTGAAAGACGGGAGCTCACCCCGCCGCGGGGATTCGAACCGCTGACCATGCGATCAGCAAGCCCTAGGCACTGAGGTTTTACCTACAGCGCCACCCGCGTCCCTATTGTTGGAATATATGAATGCAATTGGATCAAAAAGCGATAAATAGTTTATATATTACTTCATCATGGCTACAAAGGTATAAGTATCCCAGCATTGTAAAAATGAGAAAATAGCAACAGTTAAGGACTGTGAAATAAATTGTTGGGGTGGTATTAAACCAAAAAAATTGTGCAAGTGGAGTGAGTTCCACTTGTACAATGGGACCTTCCTCTTCTCCCCCCCCCCCGCACTGCCACTATCCACAGATCTGTTCCAGAGGGATGGTGGGACAGATTTAGGAGGCAGGTGGGGGGACGAGAGGGGAAGAACATTGCTAAGTAGTTATTCAGGATTCAGACCCATAACACAAATATGCACAAAGGTATAGAAGGCATATGAGCAAATTAAGGTTGGGGAGGGGGGTAGTTATGGTCTTACTGGCACTTCACTTGGCAGTGCACCAGGCTCTAAGCAAAGTTCTTAAGAGGGAGAGTGAGGAAGAAGCAGGGCAATACTCTTGACTGTCTCAGCCATCCTTTAACAGCACCCCTGACAGAACTACTCCTGTTATCTCCAGCCCTCTTCCCTAATTACAAGTTCATTGAAAGTTTAAATGGCTTTGCAAATGGTTGGTACTACCCTCTGGTTTTTCACCACAATGCACCACTGTTTCAAATGTCAGATTTTCAAACACCAACTGTCAGGGGTGCCAACTATAGGGGGCGAGGGTGAAGATCAGAGGCAGGATGCATCACATGACACTGGGTCCTCTCAATGTGGAGGGCAAGTTGGCGCCCCTGCCATCTGTTGCATTTTATATGTTATTTGTAGTTAGGATTGGCATTTTATCCCCTGACATGAGCCCTTTGTCCTGAAAACTGCATGGTAAGCATGATTTTTCTAACAAGAAAACACAGTGCTGCACTTGTTGAATAGGTGTCTTGCGGAAGCCCTGCCAGAAGAATGGTGACACTCTTTTCAAAGTGTAACATTGGGAATGTAGGTGCTGTAGACACTAACAGAACCAGTCAGGCTTGCTTTGGAATCACAAAAGTGCACTAACCTGAGCAAATTAAATGCAAGGCTGCTGGACCTTAATCTGGTTTTGTTGGTAAACATTGTTCATTAATTTAAGGAACTGCGTGTGCTGGCCCAGGCAATCCTGTCTCATTTGATAATGGGCTGGGAATCCAGTGGATTATTGCAGGGATTTTATCTTGCCCTAATCTCTAGGGAGAAATGTTCAAACAGCTGGGGAGGACAAGAAGGAGCTGCATTCTGTGGCTGCAATTCCTTGGACGAGGATAATATTTGTAAATGCTGCAAATTTTGACTTCGGAGAAAAATGAATCTGTTCTGTTTTTCACTGGTAAGTCTCTTCTTAGTCTGCCTTACTTTATAAACATGAGCTTTAGTCAGGTGACAGAGATTAAAGGTGTTAAAAAGAGAACTGTTGGGTGTACAGTATGAAACTCTCGGTTAGTAAGGGAAAGGGGAAGAGAACAGCAAAGGAAGCAAATCATAAAAATAAAATAAAACCAGAGAGGAGCATGATTTAGAAGTATTTTGTCTGGTAGCTGTGGAACTGATGTCCACCCCCCTTCATGGTTCATGTGGAGCCATTTTTTATTCATGAAGATGAAACAGTTTCTCTTTGTGTCATGCATTCAAGAAACGATTTGAATTCCATTTCTAACATGGTGTTTTGAAATATTGAGACTTATGCAGTTGCATTGTGACCTGGGGGGGGGGGGACATTGTGTGTTCTCACAATATAAATGCCATAAGGTTTTAAAACTTTGATAGCACACTTTAAGTGTAAGTACTATTGTAAAATGCAGCTCTTTTCACAAGATATTTTAGTCTATGTGCTGTAGTGTTTCAATATCTTTTCATATGGTGAAAGCAAATGCAGAGTGTGTTTTTAAAAAACAAACAAACAAACAAACAGTTTTTCCTACCTGTTTGTGAATATTTATGCTTCTACCGTGAAAATTTAATTGAATACATTGCTTATTTGTTGAAAAGAAATATATATATATATATATATTAAAGCGACATTTTGATCTAGTTCAATACATACAAGTATTTTGTTTTCATTTATTTTTAGATTTATAATCCTCTATTGTATACATCATAAAAGAACACTGGTAAATTACAGTGGCAAGTACATTAAACGAGCCAACAACAAAGTGAGAATACAAAGAAGTTGGATTAGAGATCAGGTCAAGAATCTATTAGCACACCTTACAGTGGCTTCTATCTCATCAAACCTCGTTAAAATGATTGTTCTTGCTGATTTCCTATGAAACTAAGGATCAAGAGGGCTTGATGTATTTCCCTCAGATGGAATTACATAAATGAAGTATTTTTTTAAAAAAACACTTGCCATTACACCTATCAGTGAAAGTTTCCATTTCACTTGAGATGAGGCAGACATAATTGCAGTATCAGGGATTATCTGGGCCATTTTGCCCCTGCAAGTGGCTGTATGTACAACATGAGCCAAGAGATAGTTATTTATTTAATAAAAATTTATACACCCCTTGATTTTAAAAAAACCAAAACAAAACCATCCATGCGGTTTACATCAAGATAAAACCATGAAATCAAGAACAAATTACAATAGTTTAAAACATACAAAATGTTTAAACAGAAGATGCTTTAGCTAAGTACTTTTCATCATATTTCTCAAAACAGGAAAATTTAGTTTGAAATGTAGTAATTGGCTCAGACAAATTGCATTACCAAATTCAAAGCTTTTGAATGAATTATAAGATCAAAGGATAGCTCAGCTGGTAGAGCATGAGACTCTTAATCTCAGAGTCATGGATTCAAGTTCCACATTGGGCAAAAGATACATGCACTGCAAGGGGTTGCATTAGATGACTCTCACGGTCCTTTCCAACTCTATAATTGTGAATAAATCATTTGTGACCCATGTATTTTGGCTTCTTTATGCAAGGTGCCAGAGTGTGCTGGCTAGAAACTGCCTATTGTCCCATATATCTTGGATTACATGTTGCCCTGAATCACATGTGCCAATGGGGTAGCCTAGTCCTGCTCATTATAAAATTGAATCTTCCTGTGACATATTTGATTGGCTTTAGAACAGAACTGAAGATTTTGAATAAACTTCTTTAGAATGGGTGTGAGAGCTGGGCTAGAAGCAGACAGAAGGCAGAAGGCAAAAGGGGAGAGAGAGCGAGAGCGAGAGCAAGAGCAAGAGAGACTTGATTTCTGCTTGATTCAAAGGCTGTGACTATGGGAGAAGCAAGACCTTCTGGGGAGTTAATGCTGTGAGCCCCTCCATCATAGGCTCAAGTTGTAAATAATAATAATAATAATAATAATAATAATAATAATAATAATAATAATAATTTTTATTTATACCCTGCCCTCCCCAGCCAAGGCCGGGCTCAGGGTGGCTAACAAGCGATAATAAAAACAAGTTGAATGAATACAACAAAATTAAAACACAACATTAAAATATTAAAATATTAAAATGTAGCCTCATCGCAGGAGGAGAAAGGAAAAGAAAAAAGAAAGAGGGGGAGGGAATCAAATTGGCTCCAAGCCAAAGGCCAGGCGGAACAACTCTGTCTTACAGAGTTAATTATATGTGCAAATAAACCTTATATCATAAAGACACCACAGATTCCACTGTCTCTCATTCCAAGGAAACCAAACTCTGAATACTGTAAGTGCCTGGAGGTGACTTGCCGAAAGGTCACCAACATGGTATTTTTACTGGGTGGGGGAGCATTTTGGGAAAGGATGGTCAGAGCAGAGATGTAGCAATGTAGCAGTGTGTGGCTTTGTAGGTTGGTTGGACGTTATTGACTTTAAAACTTTGCATTGCGACTCTAGAAGCAATGGACAACATCTGTCCTGTGGGACCAATTAGACTCAGCAGGGATTCTAATTTGATTTACCCCAAGCTGCACCCACCTGCCTTACACGTGATATTCTATATGACATCAGCAGCTAGAAATGTGGATTTCTTCTGAAAATTGGGTTTTCAGAAACTGCCAGACAGATGATCGACAACACCAACCAAGTCTTGTGCCATGTGAACTGATTTCCAACCACACAGGCAAAGGAAATGGGGTTTGCAGGCTCTACTGATCAGGTGATCATTGATGCATGCAAAGCCCTGTGCTTTAGACTGCATTGTTTGATTTCAAACTCTGTGAGAAAGGAAAATACTTCACCTGAGGTCACGCAAAAACAGCTGAAAACTGGGGAATTTTCAGGTGTGTGGCAGATATATAGGTGGGATGGGAAATCTAAGAATCTAGCCCACCAGTTAGAAAAGTTTCCCCATTCCCCTTTCATATAAAGGTAAAGGTAAAGGTACCCCTGCCCGTACGGCCAGTCTTGACAGACTCTAGGGTTGTGCGCCCATCTCACTCAAGAGGCCGGGGGCCAGCGCTGTCCGGAGACACTTCCGGGTCACGTGGCCAGCGTGACGAAGCTGCTCTGGCGAGCCAGAGCCGCACACGGAAACGCCATTTACCTTCCCGCTAGTAAGCGGTCCCTATTTATCTACTTGCACCCAGGGGTGCTTTCGAACTGCTAGGTTGGCAGGCGCTGGGATCGAACAACGGGAGCGCACCCCGCTGCGGGGATTCGAACCACCGACCTTTCGATCGGCAAGCCCTAGGCGCTGAGGCTTTTACCCACAGTGTCACCCGCATCCCCTTTCATATAGAGGTCCACAAAACAGTCTGCCTATTTAGGGACAGAAATCTAATTATTTTGTCCCAATGTGCAGGACACTGTTGGATTTTATTAATTTGCTATAGTAAGGTTTTGCATGAGGTTCCTAAACAACCAATAATCATAAGCAATTTGTAATTACGTATCCGGTATGTAACAATTGTGAAGGTTATGTATCTGTTGTGAAATCAACTTCTGTGGAGAAAGACAAAGGGATGTTCTCCCGGCTTTTCTGTGGTTTGTTAAACTCAACTGAGGAAAGTTCTCTTCAAGTCACACAGAAAAGATATACAATCTGCTTGCATCTGCTGGAAGATGAAAAGAATTAACCCAAATAAGGTTTCTTCCATTTCTCCATCTCTCTTCCATATGCTAGCTCTAAATTTTACTGGTAAATCCTAATATTAAATACAGTGTGGCAGCTTAATCGTCTTAACGACTTTCAGAGCCACTGAGCCACTTTTGCAGTTTATCAATATTTGGTTCAGCAAATAAAGGGATGGTGTAAAGAAAATATTCTTGTTCTTGCTAATCTTTGTGAAAGCAAAACAATAGTTCTGCAAACAAAGCTCTTTCTTTGTGGGATGTAATCCAGATGAATATGCATCTGAAGACCAGTTGCTGAGAATGGCAGGTGGGCAGAATGCTGTTGCATTCCGGTTCTGCTTCTGGGGTTCTTAGGGGCATCTGGTTGGCCACTGTGTACCAAGACTGCCCAAGTTATTTTGACACCCGAGGCAGAATGCCCCACAATACATAACCATCTGCTGCCCTTTCATGGCACCCAAAATAAGCTGTGGTGTCTGCTTCACTTTGCCCAATGGTGGGGCCAGCCCTGAGCCTATTCCTGGACCAATTCCTTGTCATAAACTCAGACAAGTGGGGCATACCAAGGATAGTGGTGCAACTGGCAATGTTGCCACTTACTGTAAGAGCCTCAACACCTGCTTTTCTCACATCTTCAGACCTGGGCATAATCAGGCCTCCACACGAGTACAGCAGATTAAGATAAATACTCAATTTAAAATAGTTGCAAACCCCACCCCCACTAATTGTGGACCTCTGACCATCTGTGGACCCTTGGTGCGATTTTCTTTTGCCCTGGAAACTCTGTGGAACCTGTAACAGCTGTTTGGCATGCTGTTCTTACTGTACTTGAAATATAAGAGAGAGTGGCCCTCCCCAAAATATCAGAAATAGAAGCAATACTTGTGTGAACTGACTTTGTATGACAGACTGAATACTATTCTATTCTATTCTATTCTAATCATTATTTCTTACTGGTCCTTTACCATAAGATCCCAGGGCAGATTAGAACAATAAAATATACAATTATAGAACAGCTGCTAAAACAATTATGATGCTCTTGAATTTCAGGAGGGCTCTATGGATAGTTTATATGAACCAGTTAAGGAAAATCAAGACCCACATGAGACCATTTGCATGACTAGCAGGGCTAACACCCCAGTAATTGCCTCTGCGAAATGTGGACCTCCCGAAAGATCTCAGTCTTTGGTAAGTGATCCTAAATCAATAATTTGATGCTTAATCACTAATGTCATTCTGTCTTTAAACATTTGGACTGCTTTTCAATGGGATTGTTATAACTGCTTAGGTTTGAACACAGGCTTACAAACACAACTCTTTTCAAACTGGTACATCTCTGAAAACACCAAAAGTTATGTGTTAGAAAAAGCCCAGTCCCTTCCATAATGGTCAGAAGTAACTGGATTAGGATATGGTCCAGGATCTAGGACCCTGTGTTTCTAGGGCAGTCCACTCTCCTTAATGAGATGTGGAAGTTCCAACCAAGCATGAGAATTCCCCAGTGGGTATAACCAGCATCTGTTTATTGTACATGACTTGGCAAATGTCTCCATTGTCCATCTCCGCTTGATGCTCATATCCCATTTCACTTCTGCACTAGCACACAGTACTAGTGTGAAGGTGCAAAGTGTGCAGATGAATTATGGGTTTTTACTCTTGACCCAATTGCCAAAGAAACCTGGCTTCTTTCATCTCCAACTCCAAATACTAGGCATGCCTGAGGTCCAAACGCCTTCATGCAAAAATCTCTATGCAATCAGGTTTCTGGTGATGTCTACACACAAAAAAAACTCATATGCACAAAAACTTCCCTGCCTCTCACATCCATGCTAAGATGTAGACCTGGGGCAGAGCTTTGCATCACCAGTGGAAGGTGATTAGTCAGTTTAGGTCTTATCCACACTTCCCCTTATCCCGCTGCTTTTCCCTGCTCCCCACTCCCACTCCCGGAAAACCACTCTTTAGCGCTCAATTGGAGCAAATGGCAATTTGGATTGATGTTTGTTCCAATCTATCACTAAAGAGTGGGTTTTCCCTTGGAAAGGAGTCGAGCAAGAGGGGAAACCGCCCAGACTCATGCTTTCTGGACCTGCTTCTCTTGCATGCAACTCTGCATGCACCATCTATTGCTAAGCTGGGCCGTAGTCCAACAAATATAACCAGGAGAAACAAACAAAGAATACATCCATCAGGAAAGGGGTGGAAGTCAATGCAATATTCCAAATGCTTGCATGATTTAGTTCCATTTACTTTCCTAGTTGTTTTCAAATGGAGCTTTTGAAGCTCTTATCTATTTCCAATAAAACCTAACTGCAAGCCATCTGTGCAATGTTTAGCAGCAATATTATTTTAAAGAAAAGAACACACAAGATCTTGATTGTATGCAGTATGAATCAACAGATGTTATTTTCAAAAAAGAGTCTGGTATTACTATGAACCTATTTCTGTTATCCTTTGGAAATCAGGTCACCATGTTAATGTATGTTACTAAAATTAAAGTCATGGCATGAGGGGCAGTCACAAAGGGCAGCGAGACAAGATATACAGATTTATCTTTGCTACTGTTTTATGAATGAGCATTCAAAGTCACTGTTTGTGCTACTGCAGGAATCGGTGCCTCTGAAATAAAGCGACACTTTTATTTGGTACAAGTACTAGTAGTTTCTCAACACAACTCTACCTCAATAATTTCATCTGGTATGTCAGCTATGGCGGTATCTAGATTTGGGTAACTTGGCCACAGTATTCCATGCAAGGGCCATCTCAAGACTGGATTACTGCAATGTGCTTTATGTCGGGTAGCCCTTGGCCCTTGGCTGGAAGCTCCAGCTGGTGCAGAAGGCAATGGCTAGACTGCTGATGGGGCAGATGGTCAGCAGCATGCTACACCTCTGCTAAAATATCTACACTGGCTTCCCATTTGCTCCCAGGCCAGGTTCTTGTTTTGCTATGCAAATCCCTGAATGACTTGGATTGAGGATTCCTAAGGACTACCTGAGCCTTTATATCCCAGCCTGATCATCTGGAGGTCTGCTGTTAGTTGTCCTCTAGAAGTTGGGTGTTTATTGTCTGTTGGATGATGTTTTTTAATATTGAGTAGCTAGTCATTTTAATTATTGTTTTGTACTGCTTGTAGTGCTTTCTTTTTAAGTGTTTATGTAGCTGTGCAATGCCCTGATATTTTGTGAAAGGGCTGTATATAAATACTTAAATAAATAATCAATCAATCAATCAATCAATCAATCGTCAACCTCTCAAAGGCAGACCTTGGTAATATGCTGCCCTGTGCAAGGCTATTTGATGCCTCCCCCCCCACCCAGGCCTTGTGGCGCTGGCTTGAGCCAGGCTTTGGAAAGGAGGTATGAAGCTCTGGCAGGGTCCTAGAACCCTCCTACCTCCTTCCCAAAGCCCAATAAGTGCTTGCCTGGCTTTGAGGAGGAGGAAGGATGACTCTAGGACCCTGTTCAACCCCTCACACCTCCTTCCCTGAAGACAGGCAAATACTTACTGGCTTTGAGAAGGCACCCTCCTTGGCCCAGTGCAACTGCACTGCTCGCACTGCCCTAAATCCACCTTTGCCCTTTTCTCTGATATTAGCGCCTTGCACTGCTGATGAAGCTGAAATGTCAATTCTGACAGGTTGGACCAGCATGGAGTCCTCTTGTTCAGGAATTATCTTTGGTGTCATGTCTTCGTCCCAGCAGCAGCAGCAAACCTTTTTATATAGCCCTCCCACCCAGAATTAGGAATTAGGAATGTTATACAAGTCAGAGAAGCTTGTGCAGTTAGAATATGCAAACTATCATGTTTTAAAGCTCTAGTATGTAACATGCCCTAACACACTTGCCATGTCTGTTTGAATGTGTGAATCTATCAGGCTGTGGTTCACTCTATCCTCGCTGACTGGCAGTGACTTTCCAAGGTGTTTCCCACCTCTGCCAGGGATTACATTTGGAACTTTTCCTTTGTTCCCATAACAGAGAGCAAGTGGATTCACCACAAAGTTAAATTCACACACACACTCAATGCACACAATAGTAAGCAAACCAATCTCTGACATCATTCATTGATACCACATGTTTCATGCCCATGAAGAGGGAACATTTTTTAAAGGCTGCACTACCTTTTTTAATGTAACGCTAATTAAAATTCTTCTTTGGGGGGAAAAAGGAAGAAAAGAATACTAAATCAGTTAAATTGCTCACTATCAACCAGCTTTAATAAGGAACATAAATATCCTGTTGGATCTCTACATTTTTGTTTTGAGAAATGTTTAGTACAGTAGTTAACTAAAAATAACAGCTCTCTGCTGTGTCACTCTGCTAGCTGCAGAATCAATATGGTTATTTATAAAATAGTTTCTAGAAATGGAAAACGAGATTAGCGGTGACGTTTCAGCAATGTGCCTTGTGGAAAAATGCCGCTTAGGCCAAAGCGCAATGTGTAATCTCCTATCTGCTATTTCTAGCATGAGAGTTATTAGGTCTACACCTTATATGCAGCTCTAAGCTTATTAACTGAGCCTGCCTGGACTCTCATCTTGAATCCTGTCAGTCACCATCTGAACATTGTCACCTCATGATTTCAAGGCGGCATAACTTTATTCCAAAATCAACAAGAACTCTCTTCAAACGCTGAAGAATTTTGCTAGAATTCCTTTGTGATGAGGAACAAGTCATACATGTACAGCAAATGGGTCTTGCTCCAATATTCTGCAATGTATACCCATCACTGAACAGGAATGTTCCATCTCAGCCAAGCTGCCTTCTAGCTTACTATAAGCAAAAGGGGATTTAGGGCAGTGCAACTGGTTCTGCCACACTGGACATCACAACTATGACATAGTCAATTGAGCAGAATGGAGTGTACGCCAAATGCTGGCCTCGCACAGAGCGCCACTGAAATTTGAAGGGCCAAAGTCTGCCCCTGCTATAAGGGCTCCTCCAGACTATTTGTTTCCACAAAACTTATGTGTAGATTGGACTGTGCCTGGTGTTTACTGAGCATTGATTCTGAATAGTTTTTGGAGAGGTTATACAACACTGAGCATTCATTCTGGATTTACTCAAATTTGCTTGCTCGTAGCTATGCATCTTCCTGTTATTCATTCATCCCATGCCTTTCTGAACCACAAGAATTCCATTTTTAAAAATGAATTCATGGACCTAAAATGACTTTAATTCACTTAAACTGCACAAACCAAAATTTCCAGTATGCACGTGAATCCCTCCTGCAAAATTCTGACAGTTTTGAGAAGACCTAGAATATTAGGAGCTCAACAACCCAATTCCATCTCCCATTTCTTCTCCCCCTAATTTCCCATTGTTTTTCTAGAAATGGTACTCAATAGACTGTAACTTTTGCAGTCTACTTAGCATGCTCACACTTCACTGAGCAGTTTTGGGGAGGTAGTATGAATTTTAAAGACATATTATAAGAACTATTTTTTAATTTAAAAAAAGGTGTTTTTTAAAATTGGAAACTAACCAGTATTATTCTTTTCACCAAAGGAATTTTCTGATATTGAAAACACATTGATGAAAAAAAGACAGTAAGTGAACATTTATAATAGCATCCGTGCACTGTCTCTAGTTTTGTGTGCTAACCTAGCCTCAATCTTTTAATTGTTTATGTATTTGTACTGTGTATGTGGCAGTGATAGTGCCATTTGAAAATGTATATAAGCTTGCAAAACACTCTAAATCTTTTTCTTTTACAATAACTGAAGAGGAGACATCAAAACTCAGATACATTTAGTCACCATTAAGCTCAGCATGGGTTAACCATATGTATGCTTTCCCCCCATAGGACTTATATGGTAACCTATTTCAAAGTGTGCTTGTACTATTGACCTGATAATCTTCTTGTGAGTTTCCCCTCCCCCCTTTATCCCAATACAAATTAGTTTTCAAAATGATTTGGATTAACCACCAGGCCAAGGTACATTTTATCAGGCATTTCTGTGACAGTAGTTTGGTTGGACTAAGATTTGCATGAGCCAATCTTATGATTGTTTCTGCTAATGACTAGTATGCACATTTATTTATTTTTGTATTTATTTAAGAGAAGAGCTGGACTGGCAGATTCCGAGCTTCTGACAGGATCTTTGTAGGTGTTTCCTCTTTCAATTGCCATCTCATTTTGAAATCCCATCTTATACAATGACTTATCAGCAGATCTGTGTCTATGTGACAGACATACAGGGCCAGCCCCAAACATTTTGCTGTCTGAGGTGGGCAATCAGATGGCACCGTCTCTTCTTCAAGACACAAAAACCCAAGGCCAGCCAAGTTTATCTTGGCACCTGAGGCAGAAATTTTCCCAAGTACCTCTCTCACTCTTCAGCAGCAAAAGTAAATATTAATATTAATAATAAATAACAATTTGCTGCCTTTCATGGTACCCAAATAAGCTCATGATGGGGCCTACCCCGCAGACATGTCAGCTACTGAGCCATCTGAATTCCTGGATCACTATTATCAACAGATAAATTTATTGTCCAAGTTCAGGCTCAAGATGAAGAGAGAGCTTGTCTTGTGAATGTAATGGCGATCAGTTGATAAAAATACTATTTGAGGTGCATTTCTCCAATAACAATAGACTTCTACACAAGGCTTTTTGCTGGGCTGGTAAGAGGGAATCTTCTGTACCTATAATAGTTATGCAGCAGAGGAAGTTTTCTCATCACTGAGTATTTATTTTTGGGATTTATACTCCCTACTCATCAACAAGTTCCAAACTGTAGCTCAGTGCCAAGGTACCTGCTTGCATACAGAAGGTCCTAGGTGGTCTGTTGTGGGGAGCTGGCCATGCTCCATGTGGCAGCAGTAGTAGGTAAAGGTAAAGGGACCCCTGACCATTAGGTCCAGTCGTGACCGACTCTGGGGTTGTGGCGCTCATCTCGCTTTATTGGCCGAGGGAGCCGGCGTTTGTCCGCAGACAGCTTCTGGGTCATGTGGCCAGCATGACTAAGCCGCTTCTGGTGAACCAGAGCAGTGCACGGAAATGCCGTTTACCTTCCTGCAGTACCTATTTCTCTACTTGCACTTTGACGTGCTTTCGAACATTTTCAGCACTGGAGGGAAGCAACTCTGTGGCCCAGGACTGCTGCCCCAAGTAGTTTGGAGGCACAGAAATGGAGAAATGGGTAGACCTGTGCCTACTGTAGAATCATTCAGGTCACATGAGCACCCCTGCCCAACTACTGCCAAAACAAACATGTCCTGATGGAGACAATGCTTTGGATGGATTTTGAGGGGCAGAGAGGGATCACACTTGTCTCACCTAGGGCAGCATTTTGTTTTTAGCAATTCAGATTCTTGAACCTGTGTGAACAACAGTTGACTCAGACAATCATCCACTCATTACATATAATGAATAATGTAAGCCAATTATTTGTGAATTATGTGCTCCCCGAATGAGTCATGCTCCCCTTAACTATTTGGTAAATGCTTGGCAATGAATAATAGATGGGAAGAAAATTAGGCTCAGTTTGAGAATAATTTTCTCATCCAAAGCAGGGTCAGCCTTATGATAAATGACTTAGAGTCCTATGGCAAAGTTTTTGTAGGGTGCAGGGTTGTTTTAGCACAAAGCTCCACTGTAGTTAGAGTGCACAGGCATCATTTAAAGATAGCAGACAAAAACCCTGGTTCAGTCGTTAGAATAACCACGTTGAATCGATTAATAAAAGATCAGACTCTACATTCTTTTTATCTCTTTCTAGGTCCATCCAGAAGTCCATGTCAGAAAATGAAGCATTTGGTTAGTAATTCACATTGTGTTCTGTTCAGGCTTTTGTGTTGTTGTTTTATCATGCAAATAAGGGGGCATCCATGTGCTGAATACTTCTGGTGAAACAGACAAATCCAACACTCTGACAGAGGTTGCTGGAAAGTACCCTACATGCATACAAAAAAACAATTATGGGAGCATTTCAGATTTAATAGAATGTGTGTCTAATTTGTTTTCCATTGTTAAAATGGCGATTTTCCTTTGCTAGTTGAAAGCGGAAACATAACTTGAGAAATGAAATGTATTTTCATAAAATGTCTAATCATTTTTTCATGTTTGATTGTGATGGTCAACATATCCTGTTTTCAGCAGCTAGCTTTATAAAAATCGTTTCGTATATATTCCAAGTTGTAGAACTGATTTATTCAGACATTTTAAATACATTTTTTTTTTTTGCTGAATATGGAAATAAATAAAAACATGGCAATCCATCATAAAGAGCCTATCGACCTCTCTGTGAGTTTTGCAGTTCAGCAGGATTTGCATCCATTCATATTTTATCTCACTAGATGACAATGAATGGAGAACATTTAAAGCAAGAATGCTTTCTAAAGGTAAAAATATAGATTTTAATTGCAAAAATCTTCATATTTCATGACACCATGTTATTGTTTTAAAGCCCACAAGTACAAAATGGCCATGCCATATCAAAAGAATTTCCTTTCTTTTTCTCCAAGTGTATTTAAAATGAAAACAAATGAAAAGCCTTAAAAAGAATTGCATCACCATTCAGAAGTGAAATCACAACAGATGTTTCATAGATGTGGTTCTTAGTACACTCTTGAAATCAATGCAATATAGTCTTGAAATCAATATGAACCATGAAAGAGATGCAATCATATTCCTAAAAAAGATGACACTACACTCTCACATGTTGAAACCATAAACCTGCTGATGTCTGCTTTGAATAAATCGGTGTGGCATCCTTAAAACAAAACCATGGCAAATCTGTCCTCATAGAACTTTCCTAGGGATATTAAGACCAATTGCTTCACATGCAAGTTGACATATAGAGATAGCGAGTCAATAGTAGCTTGCAACCCAACACAAGTTTCTCACATCAGCAGTCAACACATATTTGCCAGCTTTGCAGAGTTAATTTAGAGGCTATGGCCTCACGGTTTGTGGCAGCTGCTTCTCTTTGGACGCTCACTTTTTGATGCAAGAGTGACACCTCCAACATCACTAGCAACAGAGCCCAACCCCTCAGCATGATTGTCTTCTTGCCTGACAATTGGGGTTTATATTTACCAGTGCTGACCCTGAAGGGGCCAGGACCAAAAGGGGATCTCCACCTGAGGGGATCCCCTTACGGAGCACTGCAAGAGCCATCTCCTTAACATCTAGATAGCATGAAGCTGGGGTGTACCTTCTCTGAGGCTTTTTGTGTTGGGATTAAGAACCACCGGTTCATCTATCTGAGTATGAGAGTATTCCCAAATTGTCTGAAAGAAACATTAGTCGGATCACTCCGAAATAAACCATCACTGAACCGAAATCGAAATAAGCTACAGACTGATTTCAAAGCTCCCTTCCTGGTCAAGATCCTTTAGCTGGTAGTCACTGGCCAGATTTGGATCCAGTTTAGGCTCTGTTACAGGCTTTAGTCACCTGGAGTCAGAAGAGAGAAAGTGGGTTTTTGACTTTGTTGATTCTCATTGATCTTAGCAGTTTCAGTCCAATTATCTTTCAGTTTTGACCTATTAAGCCTTAAATGGCTCAGGACCACAATACCTCAAGGACCGCCACTTCACATATGAACCATATGTGCCTCCTCCGCAAGAGGTCAGGAGGGTGGCAACACGAGAACGGGCCTTCTCTGCAGTGGCCCCCCATCTGTGGAATGCTCTCCGCAGGGATGTTCGTGTGGCGCCTTCACTATACACCTTTAGGCGGCACACAAAAATGTTCCTTTTCAACCAGGCCTTTGCCTGACTCAATCTACATCCTATACACTGTTTAAAAATGCTAGCTCTTCTGGGGGTTTTTTATTGGGTTGTTGGTTTTGTTTTGACTTTATGTATTTTATATTTTATGTGAACTGCCCTGAGACCTTCAGGTATAGGGCAGTATAGAAATAATAATAATAATAATAATAATAATAATAATAATACAATGGTACCTCGTGATGTGAACGGGATCCGTTCCAGAGCCCTGTTCGCATCCTGAACAGAACGTAAGACGCGACTATGCGTGCACGAGTCGCATTTCACCGCTTCCACACATGCGTGTGACGCCATTTTGACCGTCTGCGCATGCGCGAGCAGCGAAACCCGGAAGTAATGTGCTCCATTACTTCCAGGTTGCCGCGGAGCACAACCTGAAAATACTTCTCCTGAAGTGTATTTATCCCGAGGTATGACTGTAATAATGATAATATCCTTCTGGAGTAGCTGTCCAAGTTGGGAGTTGGCAGTATTGCTTTGCAGTATTTCTGGCCCTAGTTGGATGGCCGACTCTAGAATCTGGTATTTGAGCGGTATTGTTCAGATTTTGTTCAGAAACTGTGCAGATTTGTGCAGCCACCAGTGTGGGGCTCTACATGGTTTGAGCTACCCTCCATGCTATTTACAGAAAACCATGGTGAGGTCATCCTGAATTATGGAGTGTGTTGCCATCAGAATGCTGAGGACTCACAGCTCTACTTCTCCTTTTCATCATCCTTATATACCCAAGCAATTGTTGTGCTCTACAGGAGAGGGCATCCTGCAGATACTGTTGCTGTTGTTGTTGTTGTTCTAAATCACCCTTCACCCTA